TTGCGGGCTTCAATAGTAGAAGTTTTGCATTTCTTGGGAACAAGGGCAGTTGCCCCTGTTCTGGTACTGTTTTTGAAAAAAAGCGAACTCTTTAATAGATTAATTTTGTCTTCTCTAAATTACTCTCAACCCTAAACGCAGATGGTCAGGAGAGAGAGATCGTCGATCTTTTTCAATTCAATTTTTTCATAAGCAGCCCTATAGTAGATTTGTTTAATTGGAACGGCATCACCCGTATTAATATTATAGGTAATAACATTAGTGTGGTCTAGATTTTCAAGGTTTTGAGCAAACAAGTTTTTTTCTTTAAGCAAAAATTCTTTTGGTTGAATTTGTTCTTGTAGTGTCATTTTTTCATTATTAACCATTTCTTCTATTAATTCTTTTACAGATTTTTCTTTATCCTTGTCCTTTTCATCTTTTTTTGTAGGGACCTCTTCTATGTTAATAAGGTATAGTGCTAGATTTTCTTCATAACCTGTGAGTTCAACTTTCTATTTTAATTTATCGAATTCTTCATCTTCATAGTTGAATTCATCAAAAGTATCTCTGCTATCACTATATTCATCTTTCTCTTCATGGGTTTTAAGACCTTCAGTACTACTATTTGAAATTGATACTTCTGCTAATCTATCAGTATATTGTAGATATAGTTTTTGCTCATCAAAATAAATTCAAGCTTTAGTCTTTTGGAACCAATCTGTTTCTAATAATAGTGTATTGTCTAATAATTCTATTATATATAAGGTAGTAGGAATCACCATATCCTTAATTATTAACCTTATATCTTTAATCTTTTCTAGTATTTTAGCCTTTGCTCCCGTAGCTATTACTACTACAGTTATAAATTTATTACTATTATTAATCCTATTTTATCTAATAAGCATTTTGATATTATACTTACTACTGCACCTGAATCTAATATTGCCAATACCAGATTATTTCGAATTTGGATATAATACCAAGCGGTAGTTATATGATGTTGTTCTTCAGGATTAAGGAAATTAGTTTTTCTTGAAATGGCCAGATGTTTCAATATCTTAGCCAAATTCTTGCTTTGGTTTGGATATTGTAAAATTTGTTCTACTATAGCACTAGTAGATAAGGCTAAAATGTCATCTGCGACATTATAAGGTGTTAAAGAATCTATTTTTGATGGCTCATGTTTTCTTTTTGGATTGTTTAAAGGAAGTAGATTCTTTATAATAGTAGGATTTTTGATAACTATATCTTGTTCTTCTGTTATCTCTTCTTGGGGTATTCTAACCACCTTATATAGCCTATTTTTCTACTTTGGGTTTGCTGAACATTTTGTGACTTTTTGAGGAGTAATATTATTTACTATATATACTTCCTTCTTATTGTTTTCTAACTCACAAAAACTAATAGTTTTTGTTTGATTAAAATTGTTTTTTTCTTTTTTTTGACTAGGATATAGATATTTTGATTTTTCTAACATACAATTTTTTGTGTATGTTCTAGTTCACCATATTTCTGATATTCTATACTTTTTTTTCTTTCCTACTTATATCTATTC